AACCTGTATCTTTCCTTTGGAAAATCCCCCACTTACTTATGGTCTCCAGTGGAAAGACAGGAGGAGTGACTACACTTAATACTTTAGAAAAGAATGGAAAGAGAAAGGAAGAGGAGAAGGAAGATGAGAAAGAAGACTATTAACAGCAATATAATTTAGTGCCCTCAGGACAGCAAAAAGGTACATAAATGGATGACGAGTGTCTGGATTGACTGGTGAGGGTGAATGGCCAAGGAAGTCAGCAAATGGAAGTCTTGACCATGGTCATAGGCAGTAACTTTAAACCAAAGGACCTGGCAATCTTAAGCATGCCTGGTACACCACAACTTTGGAGACCAGAACAGTGTGCTTGAATTCAATGCTGTGCACATATATGGAGGAAACTCACAAAACTGCTTTCCTGCACCTTGTAGGGAAACAATTTCTCTGTAATCAAAAGGTTTGTTTGTTCTGTGGTATGTTAACAGGATAAAAGAATGTGTATTTGCTGATATGTGCAGGAAAAATGGAACAAAGCAGCCTCTTCATTTACTGTAACTGACCTCTTCCTCCTCCTGGGAAGGGTGGATAGAATTCAAGTTTGCTTAACAACTTCAGTTACTGTGGTCCTTCCCAGCTAAAACCACTTTTTTCAGCCTCTTTAGGATAAAGTCTGTGTGGCTTAGATGGCTTTATGCTCCCCCTGTCCACTCTAAATAGGAGGTGATGAGGAGCTTAGATAACCTCAAGGTGCCAGAAAAGGGAGCCTTGTCTTTTGCTCTGACCAGTTTTCTAATAAGGATTATGAATTGTACATGATCTCAAATTCTATACATTTTCTTATAGCACAGGGTAAAGAACATTTCTTGTTGGTTAGAGGGATTATAACTCTGCTATCTATTAATATCCGTGTGAATAGACACAGAAACGTCACCTGTGCTCCATAACAAGGCACCGCAGTTGTTGAGGGCCGCTCACCTAGTTCCAGGGTTTCATTCATTCTGCTACAGATTTAGTAATGATAGAACAAACATTACTTCCCTGGGAATGTTTTGATTTTTGCCATGTGGGGATGGGTGCCTCAAGTAAAATTCTAATTCGTATACTGCGGGTAAATCCCACAATCTGAGTTGTCATGAAAAATAAGGTACAATTCCCCAGAAGTGACCCTTTCAAGCTTCCTGAAAGGTGTCTGTTCCTGTATCACATGATTACTAACAGATGATGTTCAATGCTGATTCTAATAAATAAGAAAATCATCACAGAAAAAACTTTATCTCAAACTGATTCAAAAGCATATGACAGACAAGAGATAGGAAGTTTTGACAAACTGACAAGTTGTTATGTTGATTATAGAGAATTTCAAAATTTCACAACCTCCATATGTCAATCTTATCAGAAGTTTCTCCTTAAAGAAGTAACAGCAAGAATGAACTGGTACAGACGAAGAACAGAAATTACATGAACAGGCCATGTCAACATGTCCCTGGGTCAGATTAAAATGTAAAGCTACAAATGATGTTTTTAAAATGTACTTTATAAACAGGTTTATCGCCTTAGGGATTGTTTTAAGAAAAGGAAGATTGATGATAAATTTCTTTGGGATCATAAGGATTTTCACTGACTGAATGAAAAAAAGAAAAGAAAAAATAAAAACCTAGAATGTAAGAAACCAAGATATAAGAAACGAAGATTTTGACATGGCTCAGATGACAACTTCTGAAAGGAACTGTCAATTTTATTAGTATTACAGCATGAACTTCAAAGACTTTTCAGAAATAACACTGAAATTAGAGTTTGAAAATTCATTTCAATAAAAAAAGTATCAGGTAGTTTTGAGAGAAATCTGCATCCGTGGATGTTTTAAGGCCCTTGTCTAGCTTGGATTAACACATAGTCTACAG